AGTTAATAGCAAAGTCAGGAAATACCTCTTATGTGTCTGATTCAGAGTCTAATTCAGAAGCTTCACTATCTTCTGTTATGTTTGCCATGAGAGTTATGTTTGCTCTCTCATCATCTGATTCTGAGTCAGCTTCAGATGTGTCAGAATCATCCCATGTGGCCATGAGACTTTTCTTCTTTTCCTTGCCAAACTTTCTTCTTGGCTTTTCCTTCTGAAGCTTTGGGCAGTCACTTTTGTAGTGCCCTTTCTCGTTACATTCATAGCAGATGATGTTTTTGTTGTTTGGCTTTCTGCTTCCTGAAGAGCCTTCAGATCTTCTGTATCCAGAGGAGGGTTCTGACCTTCTGTATCTGGAGGAGGATTCATTCTGATTCTCTGATCTTCTTGGATTCCTGAACTTTCTTTGCCTCTGCTTCCACAGTTGGTTCACCCTTCTGGAGAGGAGAGACAGTTCATCTTCTTCTGATGAGGACCCATCAGAGGTTTCTTCTACAGCCTGCAAAACTTTGGAGTCAGATTTTCTGTTAGATTTTAAAGCTAATGGCTTACCTTGCTTTTGAGGTTCATCAGCTTCTAGCTCTATCTCGTGACTTCTGAGGAAGCTGACAAGTTCCTCCAGAGAGATTTTGTTGAGATCCTTAGCTAGCTTCAGCACCGTGACCATTGGCCTCCACTGTTTTGGCAAGCTTCTGATGATCTTCTTAACATGATCAGCAATAGAATACCCTTTGTCCAGAACTTTGAGACCAACAACCAAAATTTGAAATCTTGAGAACATTGTTTCAATTGATTCACTTTCTTCCATCTTGAATGCCTCATACTTCTGAATGAGCGCAAGAGCTTTACTTTCTTTAACTTGAATGTTGCCTTCATGCGTCATTCTCAGAGATTCAAACATATTCTTTGCAGTGTCTCTGTTTGATATCTTTTCATATTCAGAGTAAGAGATAGCACTGAGAAGAATTGTTCTTGCTTTGTGATGATTTCTGAAATCACGCTTTTGTTGATCAGACATTGCTTTCCTGTCAATCTTCTGACCACTTGCATTCACTGGGTGCGTGTATCCATCAGTCACCATATCCCACAGATCAGCATCGTGGGCCAGAAAGAAGCTTTCAATTCTGTCTTTCCAGTAATCAAAGTTCTCTCCATCAAAGACTGGAGGTTTTCCACTGAATCTGTCTCTTTCTTCATTGTTGTCATTGCTGATGTTTTGATGTGTTCCTGCCATAGTGTTTTTATAATGTTGGATCTTGTACTGACACGGTTAAGTGTTATAAGCTCAGAACCAGGCGCTCTGATGCCAATTGAAGAAGTGAAAAACACAAGAAGGGGGTTGAATTGTAAAACTTGAAATCAAATGCAGACAACATGTTATTTTTATCCTGGTTCGTTTGATCTCAAACTACTCCAGTCCACCCGTCAAGGTGATTTCGCCTCTCTCCAATGAGGTCTTAATCCACTATATTCAACTGAATACAACAACTGCTTTAACAATTGTCAAAGCCTTCTTGAGTCTAACCATAGACCGGTTTATCTCAAGGTAATTCTCTTACAGATAAATGAACAAATGTGTGTTTGATGTTTTCTAGGAAAAACTATATATCACAACCGTGATAATACATAATATTAAGCTTGGATAATACTAGATTGCTAGAACTATAGAGTAAGCACTTGAGAACTTTCGCAAACTGGATGAATGAGAACGTGAAGATGATTAGCTTATGCGTATGTGCGTATTAGAGAATTATTAGCCATTTCTTTTCTCACAGATTTGTTTATATAGCCTTGGAATAGATACGTTGCTGTCCATAATTCCATTTCAATGCTCATAACATTCTTTCCTTTTTGAGAAGATCTTTGTCTTGGAATAAAGCCGTTGGTAATTAATCTGCCTTGAATGCATAGTAACGTTGACACTTCAGAGTGTTCTGCTAATGCTAATCAGAGTGTTCTCGGCTTTAGCTTATTCTGGCGTTTCTGAGTGTTGATGACATGGTTAGGATCTTGATCAGAGTCAGAGTATGTTTTGCGCAGATTCTGTTCATCAGACTTCAGCGTAGCACATGTTTGATCTTCTGATGCTGACATATCTTCTGATGTTGATGTTGATACTGATATTCTGATGCTGATTCTATCAGAGTTTCTGTAAATACACAACATAATTTTAAGTAGCATATATGTCTTATATAAATCTCATAATTCATTTAATCTTGTATTTTGTTATCATCAAAACTCTAACTGAGGGTTGTAGAATCAAACTATGTTCTAACAACGTACACACACACACACAAAACCTTTTTATAAATTTTTTTTGAAAAGAATAAGCCTCGAGAAGTATATAAAAGTTGCATAGAAAAGGATGAGAGCATTTAAAAAGCCAAAAAATATTTTTTGACTGAATATAATCGATTAGAACATAGTGTTAATATATTAGATCATCAGTCTCTTGAGGAACAAGTCAATTTGAACGCACTCAGATCCTATGCAACGAATATATATCACTTTCTTATTTTGGAACTCGTAGCCGTTATATTTAAATAAGTTAATCGATTGGATTAATCGATTAATGACGATCATTTTGGCTTTAATGCTATTTTCTCTTTTTGGGAATTTCAAGCCTATAAATTGAGGTCTCATTCCTCGTTTCATTTCATCTAGAAAATGATTTTTGTATTGACACACACTCTCTCTCTAAGTTTTTATTTTCACTTTCTCTTATTAGCTAATGACGATCATTTTGGCTTTAATGCTATTTCCTATTTTTGGGAATTTCAAGCCTATAAATAGAGGTCTCATTCCGCGTTTCGTTTCATCTAGAAAACAATTTGTATATTGACACTCACTCACACACAGACACACAAACACACACACACACACACACACACACACACACACACACACACACTCTCTCTCTCTCTCTCTATGTGTGTGTGTCTGTGTATCTCTCTCTTTTTCTCTAAGTTTTCATTTTCACTTTCTCTCATTAGCTCTTATAGTCAAATGCTTTTGTGAGGAAATATCTTTTGTGAGTGAGGAATTTCAATATAATTTTAGATGGGTAGCATTATATAAGTTCTCCAAGGATGTTATTTATGCATCTTGGATGAACACAGTCCATTTAGGGGTAAAATATGTGGTTATAAGCTAAACTCATTTAAAGCTTTGATTGGGGATTGTGTGATCAGTTCGTATGTTTATTTAGGTTGAAGATCGTCAATATTGATGATATTCACTTAGGCTCTTAGTAAACCGTGTTTGAAGGTTCATTGGTACATGGTTATCTGGTTTAAAATCATGGGTTATAAGATCATCCTGTTAAAATCTCAAGAGGTTATTGGTTATCCTGTTAAACCAATTTGAGCTCAATTATTTTTGTGGAACTTGGAGACTAACCGCTACAAGGACCGCTTTGTGGAGAGAAGACTAATCACTTCAATTTATAGTTGGGAAGGAAACTTGGTCACTTTAGTTTCAACAATTTCAATGAAGAAGACGCAAACAATCATATCTTCTGTCTTGTAATAATTTGGTTGTAGGACAACCACCATCTCCTTGTGTAAAGGGGTTTGTGAGCTTTGCCTACTAATTAAAAGCTACCAAGCATATAATGGAAACTCTCAATTCAAGATCAATTATTGAGGAGAAGAGTAGGTCTTTTATTTTGACCGAACCTCTATAACTCTTGGTGTTCTTCTTTTTCTCTTAACTCTTTTATTTACGCACTTTATTTTATATATTTATATTTCACTGCTAAGTCTTAGATAAATTTTTTAAACTTTGATATATATTAAGAAAAGTTTTCAAAACCATGTTTTTTCAAACCATACAATTCACCCCCTCTTGTGTGTGAAGTCTCAAGTCCAACAATATGTTGGTAGTAGGCTCAAATACATACGAGATCAGAAACTCAAAGATTTAATTGTCAAAGGGATTTGACCTGAAGGACTCAGGTCTTGCAAAGAGGATGAAAATCGTGAGATATGAGCAAAATAGTGTTTTGGAGTCATCTCAATTAGAGTACATCAATCGTCTTTTGCTAAGATTTAACATGGGCAATGCTAAATCGGTTAGCACACATTTGGAAAGTTATTTTTTCCTATCTAAGGACCAATTACCTAAGACTGGAGAAGAAATAAAATCCTTGTCTAGGATACTATATGATTTATCCATTAGAAGTTTGATCTACGCAATGTACGAGGCAATACATTGGCTATGATGTGGAATTCATTATTAGGTATATGTTGAATCCATGTAAGGCTCATTCATAAACAATTAAGTGGATGTTTAGGTATATATGAGGCACTTCTAAGAAATGTTTATACTTTGACAAATGAGAAATGAAAGTAAAAGACTACACGGACTTTGCTGGTGAAGTTGATCAACGAAAAAGTACAATGGACTATATATTTACTATTGATATTTGAGCAGTTAATTAGACATCACATATACAAAAAATTATTGGTCTACCTAGTACAAATTTTGAGTATGTAAGAGTCATAACTACTAAAAATATGACATTTGAGAAAAGGTCTTTACACTAGGTATAAAAATATAGGATGTGAAAAGTCCAGTCCTAAAAAAATAAAAACACGGTGACAATTTTGTAAATAGATGAAATACACGTTACATCGGGCCAATTTTCCAACCGATGTAAAAAGTCCAGTCCTAAAAAAAATAAAACACGGTGGCAATTTTATAAATAGATGAATTACACATTACATCGGGCCAATTTTCCAACCAATATAAAATCCTCTGTCATTTTTCACAAAAACCCTAGTATTCTTTACAAATCCATTCCGCCGCATTCATTTCCCTCTTTTATTCCTCCATTCATGACCACAACCACCCATCTCCAGCAACATCTTTGTTTCCAGCTGCGCCCTCCGTCTTCGATTTCGCCTCTAGCAACATCCCAAAAAATTGAACCCTTCGTTTTTTCGCCTCAAAATTCACAACACAACTTTTTTCGGAGTGAAAAAAAGCGATTATAATATAATATGAGGTAGAACCGTCCTTCTATTTTCAACCCTAAGCAACAATCACTCATACCTTTCAATCAATCTTTAATATATTTTTACTCTTCATTTTGATTTTTTGTGCTTTTTCCATTCAATTTTGTTTTTTAATTCTCAATTTCTCACTGAATACAAGTTTATTCTACTTCACTGTATCAATGCTTAACTTCACGTTTTTCATATATCCTTTTTGGAGGAAGAGCTTTAGGTTTGACAATGAAGAAATTTCTGAAAAGAAACTGCAAATCTGCATCGCATCGGCTTTTTAAGGACAAGGCAAAGAACCACGTTAATGAATTGCAACTAAAATTCATGGATTTGCAGTTTTCTAGGAAGGAGAGTCAGACTGTTATGCCGCCGTTCTCGAGGAGAAAGTTCATCAGATGCTTCGTCATTCTGAGCACGAATAATTCAACCAAACACTTCAAAACTCACAAGAAGATGGCACGATTTTACTTCAGTTTGTACTTTTGATTTTCTGTTATGAAAGACATGGTTCTTGGTTAGTGTGAGTTTAAGTTGCAGGCTGTTAGTTGTTAACTTTAACTGGATTAGTTAGTGAGTAGGTGGTAACAAAAGATGAGAAGTTAGTGAAGGTTACAATGGTTAGAAGTTAACAGTAGGATGATTTGGAGAATAATGTTGGTTATAAGTGATTCGAGTGTGCTCACACTTAGCTTATAAATTTGATGGTGTGAGTTCATGATGATTATTCTGAATTATCCTTGAACTTGAAATGTTTCCTTTTGTCCATTTTTGCTTGAACTTAGGATAACTCTTGAATTTCCCTTAAACATCATCTATTTTAATTGAACTTAGATGCTTGAATTCATGATGATTATTTTGCCCTTAATTTAAGTGACATGTTTTGCATTGGAGACATAGCCATTGAATTGGTTCTGCTTATTAACTGGTAGCAGACTTTTGATGTTGTATGATAGGAATTGAGGTAGTTCATGTCCATTTATGATGTGTTTAGATGCCTTGTATTTCCTCTGTTCTACTTTTGAGTTATGAGATGTTTGGTTTGGAGTGTAGATGCTTATAATGTGTAATGACTGGATAACATTGTTTGGAACATGCTTTGTAATGTTCTGAATGTAATGTAGCATTGATCTTGAATTGTTTTTAGGCTAATGTGTACTGCTGGAACATGAAGATTTAGCTTATGGATATTCATGATGTCATGATGGATGATGGGTGCTATCTTGTGGGTTTTTGTGTATGTATCAATGGTAATATTAATGGTAAAGTTGTGATTGTGAACTATGTTGTATTTGTGGGTGAATTTAGGATGGAAGTCTCAGATCATTCTCCACCGATATTTGTCGGCTATTACAGCTGTGTGAGGAAGACGATGCTGCCTCTGTTTTGCACTTCATATTTTTGCAGCCCTTGTGACATTAGCTGCTTAAGTTCTCTCTCTCACTCTCATGTTTATATACTTTTACTTTATTAGGTGCATTAATCTGACATTAGTTGCTTAAGTTCTCTCTCTCACTCTCATGGTAAGTTATTTTACTATTGGTTGGGTTTTTGAATTTTGATGCATAGGAACAAAAAATGTGAGCCATGCTAATAAGGATGTGCAAAATTTTAAAGAGCTTCGAAGTGTAAGAATCATACGTGGAAAACATTTGTGACTGGGTATCTTAGGACATGTTTTCTCGTGGTAGATTATTGAATATATATTATATGCCTTAATGTTCCGCCATTTTGTATTAATATTTTTTTTGTATATTTTCTTGAAGACTTTGTTTGAGTTGTGTTTGTTTTTTTCTTCTAAATCTTTTCTATATAATTTGTTGGAACTTTTCTAAAACTTCCTACATCTCGAATATGATGAAGGAAATGTTTTAAAAACTGGGATTGAAATTGATCGGGGATTCTTTTAAATTTGATTGAGAAAGGAGAAAATGACATGCAAGATTGTCAACTCTTTTATTTCTTCCCCTTAACTCGTTCTTTTCTGATTAGTCAATTTTTTTTATTATAAAAAAGTAGATCTTTTACATCGGGCCAAACAATTAACCAATGTAAAAAATAGATCTTTTACATCGGGGCAATAAGGCAACCGATGTAAAAAATTGCGTTTATTTTTTTAAAAAAAAGTTGTACTTTTTTCACATCAGACTTAACAGGCAACTGATGTGGTATGTGTGTTTTTCACATCGGATTGTTTCCCGATGTAAAATATCTTTGATTTACTACATCGCTTGACTTTACATTGAATCCAGGCCCGATATAAAATGTGTTTTTCACTTGATGTAAAAAGTCTTTCCTGCACTAGTACATAAAAGTCAACAAATAATTGATATGACTTCAAAGATTATTAATAGAGTTAGATTTCACACATGAGAAAAAGTGTTTTGTATAGTTATAATCAAGGTGCAATACATATGGCAAATAAGTATGCATTTCATTCTAGAACAAATCATATTGATCTTTGTTATCATTTCATCCAATCTCTACTTAAGGATGAGATGATAACATTGAACAAGATTCAAGAAAGTGAGAATCCAACTGACATGTTAATAAAGGTAGAAAGTATTGAGAAGTTGAAATAGTTATGCTCAACTTCAGTTGATCTATTAAAATAATAATTTAAGAAGGCTTATGTATGATTGAGATGTGAAGACAAATTAAGATCTGTATTCGAGAGAAAAATTGTTGGTCAACAAAAATAAATGTAAGAGAAAACAACAACAAAAATTAGTAAATAAAATTATAAAAAAAAAACGAGAATTTTTAGGAGAGAAAAAATAATAACAAATAATTTAGTTATTTTAATTGCCTATAAAAATCAACTTTGTTTTCATTTGTAACAATAAGTAACATATTTTTCCAACAACTAGAGTTCATCTAATGGAGTGAGAAAAAAATTGAGTTAAAGAATTTTGTATGAAATATTTAAAAAATATATTTCTTTCGATATAAGTGTGAATTATAGATTTTATGTATGCGAGAATATTTTCAAACATTTGTATATTTCAATTATTATTAGTTTTAGTTTGTTTACACATTAATTTTTACTCTTCCACAAATCTAATTATGGAGAAATTTTGTGGGTTTCTTAACATTAAATGCATCACTACTAACTTTTTTTGATACACTCGATATTACGAACTTAACAATATTAATTTAACCCTTATAAATATTAGTAGATGAAAAAATTCGATTAATACCACACAGACTAATTTTTATAATCAAGAAAAACTACATTGAACAGTAAAGTTCTCCACCAGAAAATTTAATATTGCTATATTTTTAAAATTGATTGCAAATTTAAAATCTACAATTAAGAAGGAAAAGATCTCCGCCATCATATACAAGTCATCTAAAGTAGGGCTCTTAAAAAAAAACTATAAACTCAACCGTCGAATCGAACGAAACTGAGGTTTAAAATCATCAAACTATTTTGTTTGATTAGTGAATTAAATCATATTACACAAATAGTTTTATAATCAAATCGAAAATGAAAAATATTAAAAATAAGTTTTAATTTTTAAAAAAAAATTCAAAAAAAAGTTAATGGTTTGGTTATTTAATATATAGTTTGGTTCGAGACAAATTATCTTCTAACGGTTCCGAATTTTGAAACAGTATATCAAACCAGTGATTTTGGTTCAGTTCGATTCTGAACAAATTGAAATGGTTCGGTTCAGTTTTCTCTCTGAACCGTACCATGAACAACCCTACATATAAGAAAATGAATGGCTCTGGAAAAGGGCATTCTACGCTTGCTTCTTCAACAATGAGCCACGTCTATAAATTTCAAAACTTTTCAGATGCCATCTATCTCCTACCAACTCTTATTATGACCCATCTTCATTTCTATATTTCTCTCTCTTGCACAACACCCTTCGTCCTGTTCTTCTTCCTTCTATCTCAAATATTCTTCCTTCGTTCTCTTTTTCTTCTTCCTTCTACCTCTTCTTCTTCCTTCTTCCGTTGTTGAATCGCTTGATTCGGCGTTGATGATTTCTTGCTACTGGTTTTCTTGTTGAGGAAGAACATGGTGATGTGTTGTTTAAGAGAGTTTAGTTGAAACTCACGAAGAGTGAACACGGAAGACTTGACTCGTCGCATTCGTGGATCGGAATCTACTGTTTGGGTTCTGAATAATCCACAACTGCTGATTCAATGGTAGGTTAGATAGTTATAGAATTTTATTTTTAGGATTTTCTTTCTTTTGGTATCTTTGTTGGAAAAGTTCAATATTTTTTGAATTTTGAATCATGGGTTTTTTTGTTTTGTTTTATTCCTTGAAAAAATGTAATCTTTTTGGTATTTGAATCAAGGGTTATTCGTAAGTTTTTGCGGAGAGGCTGTCTGAGGAAGAAATGGATGGTTTGAAAGAGTAGGTTCTGCACTATGTTGGTGTTGGTTCACGGTGGGCGATGATTACTATTTCGAAACAGATTGGGCTTCAACTTTCTCTTTTTTTTTCTTCTTCTGATGTTGTTTATATGTGCAAATTTCAAATTTGGAGTGGTATGTCCTTTTGATTGATAACTCAAACAACATATAATAGTTAGTTTGGAGTGACTTTGTAAGTTTTAATTTTAAGCTATATTTGATTTTTGTAGATGAACGCGTTATTGGAAGAAAACAGATTGAAAGAAACCAAATTGATAAACATGTAAGTATTTCTTAGATTTTCCGTTTTAAAATTATTTACAACATTGATTTTGAGGTTTACATTTTGTTCTTAGAGTTCTAATACCTGATTTTACTTATAAATGTTTACAAAAATCGTGTCGAGGATCACGCAACATTTTCCGACGACTGTGAAGGTGACTATCTAAAGGGTTTTCGCGGTTTTGGAAGACAATAGATTTTGGCGAAGTGAAATTCATTACTCGGCGGATCTGTCAAAAGGGAGGATTCAAATACAGTAATGATAAACTGCTCTTATAATATTTATGTATGCTTTACCAATGGAGTTCAAGCAGGCGAAAAAGGTTGGAGTTGATCCTTTTGGTAAAATGGATATAAACACATTGATTTTTTAGTTGGTGTATGGCATATATGGGCTACTATAGTGAGATATGTACGTAATCCTAATAGGTTTCAAGTTTGGGAGTGGAATCTTGTACAAGGTTTTGATGGGAGGGTCAAGCACTTGGAGCTCTATGTTATTGCAATTGGTTCTCTTATTGATTTGTGCATTGAGTTTTTGTATTCAACTGACCTCAAGATATTTGTTGGTGGTGTCTTTAACCCTTCTCATATGAATGATTTTGAGCACTCAGGGATGCTTCTTATGTTCTTTATATATGGTGTTGTTTCCCTACTTCGCGAAAACACCAGGTTAACTTTTTCCTCTCTCACTCTCTCCTATTTAACTTGTTTTCTTTACAATCATGCCCCAATTTTTGCTACCTAATTTAGCTTGAGGAGTTTTGTTCGTTGTATATATTGTAAAATTTGTACATTAAAATTTTGTAGGAGTATTATTTTTCTAATTCTTTTGCTGTTGTTTGTACTCAAGTTTTGATCCGGTAACTTGTAGAATATTGAGGTGATTTGTCAAGTTTGATGGTTTCGACTTGCAAATGCGTGGTAATGATTTTGTTAAAGTTTTGTATACGTTCGAGGTATGTGTTTATCTATTTCTATACTTTAGCATATTCATGATACTTAGACTTTTTACAATTTTTATGCCATTCGTTCTTTTGTATACTTGTTCATTTATGAATCACTTTAGTTCCTACCCTTTTGTGAGGTAGCTTTCATTGTTCACATATGCTGGAGACCACAATGCTTATTTTAACTGAATTTTATTATGCTTAATCTTTTGTTTTGTGTTGATTGTATGAATGCAAGAAAGTGATCAAGGCATTTTTTGTTCCACTTTGAGCACAACTACCTAGCCAAATTATCAATTCACCTTGTGAATGTGTGATCATTAGTAACCCCTTTGAGCTTTTTGTCGATATCCATGTTGTATTTTCTAAATGCTTGTCTATGAGTGTTTAGTTTCTCTTTTTGTATGGATATTGATTCCTTGTTTTTTTGAACCCTTAACTATGATTTGTAGTTGAATTTTAACCTTGCCTTAGAAACTAGGGAGTATTCACATTATGATGATGGTTGGATTCAAGTTGGGGAGAAAAATGATTGTGTATTTATTGGTTGATTGCTATGAGGTTAAATAGAAAAAGAAAAGAAAGAAAAAAATGTGAAAAAGAAGTGATAGAAAAAGAAAGGAAAAAAATAGAAAAGCTTTGAAAAACAAAAACAAAAAGAGTTCGAATAATGTTGTGTTAATAAGTGATGTGCTTTGGTGTGAAATTTGGGGTGAATAAGAAGTTTGATTGAAATTCTATTGTTTAAAACTTTGGGAAAGTAAATACTCCCTTAGGTTTAGGCAAGTTTTTGTTTTGATTAACTTTAGGAATTATCACTTGTGTGTTAACCAAGCCACGTTACAACCTTGAAAAGCCCTTGAGATTC